TAGTCATGGATGTGGTACTGTAACTTTCAACAAACTGTCGTTCTTCTCTTGAGTCTGATGAAATCCCAAGTAGCCTGTTCACAAAGTGTCCTCGACTTAGCGAAGGAAATTTTCTGAATTTAATCTCTCCGCTTGCCAAACATAATCCAACTCTTAAGTACCAGTCAAAGCACCCAACAAAGAGAAAGGAATCATATTTATCCCATATGTGTCTCATACAGAAAAAATGAACCAGGTGATTCAATACATAAAAACGTGTGCTGATGTGAGATAACAGAAAATTTAATCGGTTTCATAGAAGTCGGTGAAAAGATAGGAGAATGTACTTCCGAACGCATTGTAGAAAATTAGTGTCTTAGTTTTGACACTTGATGGTTTGGATATTGGACAATGTCAGTGTCAGTCTTATGACAACAGGTCTAATATGGCTGGCATTTCTAAAACAGTACAAGCTAGGATTACAGAAATGAATAAGCTGGAGGAATTTGTGCCATATTTGGCCTACTCCTCCTATCTTGTCGGTGTGCATTCTGCTTCTTCGTGCGAGGAAGTAGTTAATCTGTTTGGAATTACTCAGAAAATACTTCACTTTTTTGTCGGATGCACTACTCGGTGGTATATTACATTATGAAAAAATGTACAAAATACAACTTAAAAGGAAGCAGCCAGACGAGATGGTCAGCAAAATATGTGGCTGTGAAAGTCCTTCTAATGAATTTACCAGAAATATTCAAATATTTAAAAGAAATTAAAGATATTTCTCTTGATGCAGAATCAAAGCACGAGGTGTGACATCTGGTACATGCTGTGAAAAGTTTGAATTTACTATCAACCTGAAAATTTGAATTAATATTTTTCTAGAAAGTAATATATAAATTATTAGAAAGTAATATATAAATTATTTGTTAACGAAAGTAATATATAAATTCAAAAGGAATTCCTCTTCCTCGTTATGCGTAGTTAACGAAAGAACTGACCAAAACGGAGGAAATATAAAAAATGAGAGAAAAATCCTATGGAATTTTGGATACTAGAGTCTGAAATAGTAGCCGAAAATATTGCAGATGAATCGATTCTGACAAAGAATTTCAAAGCACAAAAAGCTAGGATTGGGCTAGGAAAAAGCACAAGGATTCGGCTAAAGTGCAGAATCAACCACTTATTTGTTTGGTGCTTTTTACAAGAGTAGCACTTTTTACAAGAGTAAGAATTGGATTTTTGTCAATTTTCTTTGACTTTGAAAGTGAAAATAGGTCGTCGTGTACATGGATAAAGTCAAGGGAGTGCGCAATGCCATTTTTGCGCAATTCTAGAATGTTTTTATAAGTGAAAATAGGTCAACGTGTACATGGATACCGAGTATGTGGAATTCTTAAAAATGTGTGGTTAATCTTTGGATTATGGTAACTCAGCGATTTTTTGGCGACCAACCCTGCTACAGCAACCTGCTAGTTTGTTTTCACGAAGTAAAAGCATTTTTTTTTTTTTTTTTCTCAGCATTTTTTTTCCAACAATCTGCTAGCCGAATTAGGCTTATGCTAGAACTTTTATGAAACAAAAGTGCTTAATCATGACTAAGATCAGGTGCGAAATTGGAAGAAAGTGCAGAATCGCAAACTGCTTGCCGCGTTTTTAAGAATTGCACATACACAGTAACCATGTACACGTCGACCTATTTTCCCTCAAAAAAACATCCCAGAATTGCACAAAAATGGCATTACGCACACTCTTGGCTTTATCCATGTACACTGCTAAAGTTCTTACCTTTATCGCCTTACCAAAATGTCACCAAACTACCTGTTACCATATTCCAAAGATTAGCCAAAGGTGCCAAGCAGTGGGCGATTCTGCACTTTCCCCAAGGATTATTTTCCTCAGAGTCGCAGCTAGGGTTTTCAGCGCCCAGGAACAACTGAAGATTTAGCGCCCCCTACTGCTTGCCAAGGATGGAAAACATATAATTCTAAAATGTTGTAACATCAGTTTGGCGCCCCTTTGATTCTGCGCCCGGGCACAGATGCCCCCCTTGCCCCCTCTAGCTATGCCTGATTTTCCTGTAGCATAATAGGTCTCCGGCAATTTCCTTACCAGCACAGTTTTCTTGAAAAAAAAATAAGTTCTTTACAGGACCATACAAATTTAATAAAAGAGATGTAAAATATGCTAAACCTAGATATTACTATATACACTTTTAATTTATATGCTTTATCATGTGTAACTCGTTGATATTATGTCTTTTCCTGCTAACTTTAATTTATACTGGATTCCATATGCTAAATATCTTGCAACTTACACCGCTAAAATGTCATGGTTAACTTATTTATATTTTACCTCTATATGCTAAATACAGTCAAAAGTCGTTAATTCGGACACCCATAATCCGGAATGATCTATAATCCGGACCTCAAAGCTACAAACTTTCTGCGCATGCGTCGCGTTCACGCATGCGCACAGGCATTTACGAGAGCACGTAAGACCCTTACGGCTGCGAATATGTTTGTGCGCATGCGCGTTTAATGTGTGACGGAGTTATACGCTAAGCTAAAGTTATCTAATTCAGTTAATGTTGCAGATTGCGTTGTTCCTTAATCTTCGAATTGGATCCGGCTTATTATTTTTTGCAGACTGTTAGAGCAATTTTACAAAAGTAAGCTTGAACTTTTGATTATGTCAAATAGAATTTCCGATATATATTTACTACAAAGCGAAAGTATGTTTTGAAATCCGAAATCTGTTTATCAATTTCACGCTGCTCTGCGGCAGAGGGGGGAGGGCAGAAACATCGTTATTAGATTATGATAGATTAGAAAGATTATGTCAAATAGAATTTCAGATATATATTTACTACAAAGCGAAAGTATGTTTTGAAATCCGAAATCTGTTTATCAATTTCACGCTGCTCTGCCGCAGAAGGGGGGGGCAGAAACGTCGTTATTAGATTATGATAGATTAGAAAGATTATGTCAAATAGAATTTCCGGTATATATTTACAAATATGTAATTTGTGTCTACAAAGTGAAAGTATGTTTTGAAATCCGAAATCTGTTTATCAATTTCACGCCGTGGATTAGAAGTTGATCTGTCAGCACTATCCTTATCTTCAGGGCAAATGTTTTTATTTTATTTGGTTTATAATTCCGTACTAAAGTATTTCATCTCGATGTACTCCATCTTTGATATGATTTAAATCAAGTTCCTCGTCATTATAATTCGCTTCGGATAGTGAAGAAAGTGACCCAGAGGTTATTCAAAATGAAAACATTTCGATTGACAAATTAGTCGGTATTCTCAACACAGCAATTAACGGGACTTGAACAGCGGAACTTTCTAACTAAACAAGAAATTATGTCTGTTTAATAGAATTAAAGAGAAAGTATTATCACATGAAACGAAGCAACTTACATTGAAGGAAATGTTTAATAAAGTAAACAAATAAATATTAAGCTTTTTCTTTTTGTAAATTTTGATACCCTTTAGATCATAATTGTTCTTTATTTCATAAATTACGGTTTTATATTTTTAATTTTGTAATTTCTGCGTGCCATCTTACCAGATTTAAACTGATGATCTATAATCCGGAAAAATCGATAATCCGGAATCGCCGAAGTCCCGACGAGTCCGGATTAACGACTTTTGACTGTATCTTATAACTTGACTGTATGCCGCTAAAATCATCGATTCCATATGCTAAATATCTTGCAACTTAACTATATACCGCTAAAATCATTGATTCCATATTCTAAATATCTTGCAACTATGCACCGCTAAAATCATTGATTCCATATGCTAAATATTTTCCAGCTTAACTGTACACCGCTAAAATCATGGACGAGCTTGGCGAATAAATACGCACCATCGCCAACGGATCCTTCGCGGAAGAAAACCCACCCTCCGGTTTTTGTTTTGAGTGAAAATAGATCGATGTGTTTGTTTGCACAAACACAGAGTTTGTGCAATTCTTTGATTTTTTATTTTGGTTTTGTGCAGCGGCTATCTTGAAATTGTGCCTTCCTGGCGCTGATCTTGGCATCAAAAAAGAATCAAAAAAAAGAAGAGGCACCCAATTGCAAACTTTTACTTACTCGTTTTCAATCAAACTCTTTGTTTATCAGGTTCAAAAGCTTCATAATATAACTATTGGGAGGAAAGTGCAGAATCGTCTACTGATTGGCGCGTTTTTAAGAATTGCACTTACTCGGTATCCATGTACACATCAACCTATTTTCACTTAAAAAATATCCCAGAATTGCACAAAAATGGCCTTGTGACTTTAGCCATGTACACATCAACCTATTTTTAATTAAAAATTCAAAGAAAATTGACAAAAATCCAATTCTTCTTACTCTTGTAAAAAAGCACCATACAAACGCCAAACAAATAAGTGAGCGATTTTGCACTTTAGCCCTATTGGGTTTTCATCCACAAAGATCCCGTTGGCGCCGTTGCAGTTCACCAACGGTTGATCTACGCCGAAGATGACCGGCATACGGTTATCAGATATTAAAATTTATGGAAGTAAGCTGCCTAACTAAGCATAGTATTTAGTGCATATAGCCAAAATAATTAAAGAATAAGTAACATAAATTCAAGTTAGCGGAGAAAACAATATATTAAACAAATGGAAGTGAAAATTCAAAATTAACCGGTTAAATGGGGTATACGAAAATAAGTTTGCATTGAATTCAAGTTAGCGCAGAAAACAATATATAAAGCTATTACATATTGTTTTTACTAACTATATTATATATGCAAACTTTCGATTATACATCGCGGATTCATAAACTTTACAAAAATTACAAATGTATTTGAAAATTTCACTAATATAAATTATTCTAATTCAGAAGTCAAAAAACAATTTCAACAATCAACAATGTAATGTTTGTTTTTTAACAATGTAATTTGTCTTAATTACAAATTATTCTGTCAATAATTGTCAAAATAAACATTTCTGAACTTTCAATGAACTGCATGAATACCTTTACAACACAGTTTATACTTACCCTTTGATTTATATATCTATTCCTTTATCTCTTCATCTACTCCCCGCAACAATACTATGCTGATATTGAAACTGTAAAACAACCTACGCATTGAAGTTGCCAGGTGTATGCTATGAGATGTCATTTGGTTGTAAATTGATTGTAGTAATACTAATTAGAGGTAATAATTAGTAACAATAACAGACTAGTATTAATATGTCTACTGTCTGATTTATAATAATTTCTTTTGCTTACTTATTTGAATTATTGCTTTCAAAAATTTGGCACCACCAGGCTAATTTCGAGATGAGTTTATTGGGGGTAGTGTCGTATTTTATTCTCGAGTATCAAGATGTAGAAGCATCTTTTTATTCCGCTTCTGATAACAATCTGGAAGCAAAAGAAAGAAAATAGTAAAGTAAGAGATGTGGGAGGGAGAAAAAAGAGAGTCAGGTCAACACTGACTGTCCTACGAAGTAGAGTCGGTGATAGTCAATTCCGCGCTAGCGGTGGCGAATGGGAGGGGGGGGGTCAGCCAACACGGTGTTGGGTCAGCGCAGTATATAGTGACTTCCTATATGTTTTACCACTAATCCTCAAATTCCATATCACAGATTATGTTCTTACTGCATTAATATAAATATTAACAAGACATAGTGCACAATAAAAATTAAGCTTTATTTAGGAACATCGCGCATACTCCCCGACAGCCTGCCTGTTTTGCTCTGCTCGCTACTCGTAAGAAATTTCTCCTCTAGGGTTTTCACACTTATCGGAGGGTGCAAGACGCGCTCCTTACCGCCATCACCACAGAGTTTTCCCCCAGTTCCTTTAATGGCTATTCAAAGGAACGACATAGGTTATGAAATTATCTCAGAGGATATCTGTACTGTCGGGTATTTTTTTCATGATTACAAAATTAGAAAAGATCAAAATGCAGTTCAATATATAACACATATAATAAACATGAAATAACAAAAAATATGTTACGATATGAATTTAAAAAAAAATTTTAAATTGTTATGTAAGAAGCAAGTTTCTTAGGGAAGTGAACATGTCTTCCCGATCTGGTGACAGTTTGTGTCTTAGAGAGTTCGTTTGCAGATTATTTCTGCTGAACTGTCTTTAAGTCTTTATTTGTTTTCAGTTCAGGCAAATTAGAGTCCGAAAGCAAATAGGCTGGTTTCACACGGTCTATAGACACAGTAGATTTCAGACCGTTAATATCAATTGTGAAAGTTTTGTCCGTTCTAGAAAGGACTTTATGCGGACCTGTATATGGTTGGCACAGAGGTGGCTTTACTCGATCGACACGTAAGTATACATGCGTACACGACTTTAAGGTAGCACTTACGTAACATTTTCTTGGCAATGTGCAGATGTTGCTATTGGATTCAATTGTTGCATTCTATGCCGAAGATTCGTGATAAATTGTGTGTCATACGGAGATATCTTAGATGACGTTATCATATCACTAGGCAGCTTGAGAGTTGTGCCGTACACCAGTTCAGCACAAGATGACTGTAGATCTTCCTTTACGGCTGTCCGAATACCAAGCATAACAACTGGTAGTGTTTCAGTCCAGTTATTGGTCTCGTGAGCCTTGAGAGAAGATTTTAAATGTCGATGAAATCGTTCAACAATGCCGTTGGACATTGGATGATAGGCTGTTGTTGTGATTCTGTTCGTACCCAAAATGCGCGTGAATTCTGCAAAAAGTGCGGATCTCATTTGAGAACCTTGGTCTGTTGTTATGATCGATGGGCAGCCAAAACGAGATATCCAACAGTTGAAGATGGCTCTGCAAATGGTTTCCGTTTTCATATCCGGGATGGGAATGGCTTCAGGCCATCTGGAGAATCTATCTATTAGAGTCAAAAGGTACACGTTGCCTTCTGATGGAGGTAACGGTCCGACGATATCCATATGGATTTCTGAAAAACGTGCATCAGGAAGAGAGAATGTGCCCAGTGGTGCTTTAGTATGCCTAGTAATTTTCGATTTTTGGCAAGATTCACAGGATTTCACCCACCCAATTTTTGATATGACGTTTCATATCGGGCCATACATAACGAGAACAAATAAGCTTCGTAGTAGCTGCAATTCCTGGATGTGACAGATTATGCAGATGATTAAAGATGAGTCTGCGAAAGGAATTCGGAACAAATGGACGAGGAATGTCTGTTGATATGTCACAAAGAATATTACCATCAGAATATTGGCACGGTTTAAATTCCAGTTTCAAAGATGATGTGTTGTTTTTGAGAAGGTCTTGTACCTCCGGATCATGCCGTTGAGCTTCCGAAAATTTTTTAAAATCCAAAAATGGAGATTTTGTTATGGAATCAATTTCGATTCTTGAAAGAGCGTCAGCAACGACGTTTTTTGAACCTTGCACATGCCTAATATCAGTAGAGTACTGAGAAATAAAAATCTAAATGGCGCAATTGTCGAGGTGAACATTTATGAGGGTTCTGTTTAAAAGCGTATATTAACGGTTTTTGATCCGTATAAATTATAAAATTTCTGCCCTCTAACATGTGTCGGAATTTCTTAATTGCAGAATAAATAGAAAATAATTCCCTATCGTACGCGGACCATTTCTGTTGACTTTTATTGAGTTTCATAGAGAAAAATGCTATAGGTTCCCATGTTTGTTGAGACAACTGCATAAGTGTGCCGCCGATTGCGACGTCTGAGGCATCTACCCAGATGCTTAGCTGGGCTCCGGGAATAGGGTGTCTCAAAAGGGTAGCCTGAGCAATGGCATTTTTGGCAGCAATAAAGGCTTGTTCAGCATTCTCGTTCCAATTTAATTGTGGGGATGAATCCTGAACACGAGAACGAGATTTCTTTTTATATATAGCCTTCTAAAATTTTATTAAAGGAGAAAGAATATGTGCTGCTTTAGGTATGAAACATCTATAAAAGTTAAACATGCCTAAAAATCGGCGAAGCTGAGTGAGAGTGGTAGGTTGAGGAAAATCTAAAATACATTTGACTTTGTCAGGAAGAGGTTCAATTCCGTTTTCACTAAGGTGAAAACCTAAGAAATCAATAGACGTTTGACCAAAGGTGCATTTTGAAACATTTATGCAAAGTCCATATTCCTGAAGTTTGGAAAATAAAGCTTTCAAATGCCTGCAATGTTCCTCAGAATCTTTAGAGGCTATGAGCAAGTCATCGACAAAAGCGTAAACACCTTCTAAATCCCGCGTGACTTCATCTATAAAACGTTGAAAAGTCGCGGATGCATTGCATAAGCCGAATTGCATACGGGTACTTTCGAATAAACCGAATGGTGTGCATATGGCGGTTTTGTGGATGTCGGCTGGGTTAATTGGTATTTGATGGTATGCCTTAATCAGGTCGACATGACTAAAAATTTTAGTACCGTGCAATGCAGCAGTAAAATCGGCTAAGCATGGAATAGGGTATTTGTCTTTTATTGTTTGAGCGTTCAATGCTCGATAATCTCCTACAGGTCTCCATTCCAGACTTCCCTTTTTTGGAACCATGTGAAGTGGGGATGCATAATTGCTGCTCGAAGGTCTCAAATGCCCCAATTGCATCATAGTTTGAAATTCTTGTTTTGCTATTTTTAAGCGATCTGGAGCTAACCGACGAGGTTTTGCAACCACAGGTGGACCTTTAGTTATGATATAATGAACGGTGTTGTTTGTTTAACAGGTTGGTTAGGATCTGGTAATCTAGTAACTGAAGGAAATTCTTTTAAAATTTTGTGATATGGTGTATCACTAAATACAGTTTTTACTGAATAAATGCTTGCATTTTTCACGCAACCGACGGTTTTTAAAATGCGTTTTTAAATCTTTTGAGACATTTGTTTCTGAGATCAGGCACCAATTCAAAGAAATGGAGAAAATCTGCTCCAAGAATGGGTGTACTACTAACATTTGCTATAAGAAAAGTCCATGTAAACTGTCGTCTTAATTTGAAATCCAAAGAAAGTGTTTTTTGACCATAAACATGAATAGTAGAAGAATTAGCAGCGAAAAGTGTTTGTTGGGACGAATTCCGTTTTTGAGAATTATTTGCTGGAAGTAAGGACACGTCAGAGCCGGTATCGACCAAGAATGAAAGGTTTGTTCTACGGTCACGAACGAACAGGCGACGTGAAACTTGAGGCAAAGAATAAGTCGCCTCTATTCTTTGCTGGTTTCGTTTCCCTGCCATGAACAAGGTTTTGTACATTTGTCATCTCTACACTTTTCCCTAAAGCGTCTATGATACCAGCAAACAGAATAATCTCTCCTTTTGGAATTGCTTCTTTCCTTATTGCGATCTCCGCGATTTGGCGAGCGACCACGAGAAAGAGAAATGCGATCAATTTAATTTTTCTATTTGTTTAAATAATTTATCCTCAAGAGACTGATCGACTGTGCGAGAAACGGCACAAGTCCCTGGGGTTGGATTTTACTTCTAAAATTCTGTCGGCAATTTCTGCAGCTTTATCTACAGTTAAATTGGAAACCGCTGCCAAAAATAGACTGAACAGTTCGAAGGCAAACGTTGAAGGAATAATTCTAACATTAAGTTATCTCAGGAACATTTAAAGATTCTGCTCGACGTTTCATATTTCTAAGCAAATCGGATAGGTTTTCGAAGAACCTAATTCCTCTCCAGATAATAATTGGCAAATTTCTTGCTGAGAAGGTTTCCCATAAGTAACTCCCACACTAGAGATGCAATATCTGGAGGAAGATGAAGCAACTACATAATTATATTTAGTAATGGATTCTGTGATAGGTTTGGGGGTGGCAAGAGCAAAGGTACTTTCACACATAATAAACCATAAAGATGGGTCTGATCGGTTATAAACCGGAATTTGGACGGCATGAACATCAGACATTGTGCAAGGTTTTTAAGCCAAAATAAAAGCAAAAATTTAACTAAAGAAAATGAAATTAAATGATAAGTAGAAAACAGAATTAATCACTACTCATCATTTAATTCCTTAAAAACCTTGCACAATGTCTGATGTTTATCACGTCCAGGTCACCATTATAGTGACTTCCTATATGTTTTACCACCAATCCTCGAATTCCATATCACAGATTATGTTCTTACTGCATTAATATAAATATTAACAAGACATAGTGCACAATAAAAATTAAGCTTTATTTAGGAACATCGCGCA